AATATAACGAAGAGTGAAAAATGTAAGGGGGTCTGAATACTTTCCTTACCCACTGTATGTTTTTTTTAAAGAATGTGTTTAATTTGATATTTTCTGAGCAAAAAATGCATACATGCTAACTAATTGTCATTTGAAATTTTTGCCACTATCCTTCGAACCACTAGGTTGGGTTTTACCCGTTTGTCAGCAAGAAGTTTTTAAGAATTTAAAATACAATACAATTTAGTGTGATCACTTATTTTTTTCTGTTTTAATAAGTACAGGTCAGAATAAGTTTGTTTCATTTTGACATAAATATATCTGTCTAGATATGCTAGATGACCATTACAACATTATTTCACCCATATTTTGACATTTTATTTTCACAGTTATTTGAAACATTAAAGTTGACACGTTACTTGCATTTAATTCACCTTTCTTTTTAGATACATAATTAAGATAAACAACATTGTTACAATGTAAATTCACCACTTCTCAAGCGTTGGCAGTTAAAACCACATTAGCGTTAAATTCTGAAATTCTTTTTATTTGTTCCCAGTGGAATGAGACCATCAGGCTCTTCCGTGGTGGAATGCCAGTCAGACGTCACTGGGCTCATTTCAGGAGTTATGACCACAGTTTCACAGGAGCCGAGGCTGTCGACTTCCTCCATGAGCTGCTCAGACGAAACCAGAACTTCGGACCGGAGGTGACGCGCTACCAAACACTCCAGTTACTTCGGAAATTCTTCAAAAACCATGTCATCGAGGATGTCAAAGGACGATTTGGTAAAGAGGACTTTGAGGACAGTGGACATTTATACAGGTGCTTTCTTGACTATCTTTCAAAAATGACATTTACAACATTGCCACTGTTATTTTTCTCTTTATTAATGTGAGGCTGCTTTGAAACAATCTGTATTGTATAAAGCGCTATATATGAAAAAAGTATATCTGTTGCGTTATAATAAAAAAAATGCTTTTCAAAATAATAATAAATGCTTTAAATATTTTAGATTTCCCCCACAATCACCTCTGAAGCCCGTTCCTGTGCGTCCACCTGTAAGAGATCACAGCTCAGTACCCAGAATCCCACGCTGGGATGACTTTGAGGAGATATCAGTGCCGGAGAAGATCCCAGTGAAGCCTCTTATGGTAAGAGAACG